GGCCAATGGCACCCCGAGACTGCCCCCGGCCAAACTGTAATATACTATATCTGTGCGGATCTTTCATTTCCCCCCTCTCCCCCCTCACTCTTCCTTCTATTTCTGTCTTTTTAATGTCCCTCCGTTGAGCCTTTCATCTGAACGTCCAATCGTCCTTCTTTCAAACTCCAGACAAGTCCGCTAACCATAATACGTCCGTAACTACGTTCATTCGCGATATGCGGCTCTGCACTGATAACGATATATTTGTTAATATTTCGTAAAAAGAAGCGTTTATAACTTAAATCGTTTGCATCCTAGAAATGCACCCGGAAATGCTGGAAATCGAAGAAATATCAGATGCGCGACATGAGTGGATATCCGCGCGTCGAGCATTTCGCGGCTGACTAATGCGGGTCATTACTACTTACTGCCCCCGTTAACGCTCGAGCGTGCGAGACCGGGAATTTGTCGTTGATGAAATTTAGATTTAACTTACGGCCAAGTTTAAGTGGAAATGTTAAGGGCGGGGAAAGAGAGGGGGTCGGTGGGGGAGAGAAACCGTGAAAATTTTCCGCCAAGTGTCGGCCGCGGAACGGCCGACACGGCCGACGCTGCTCGCCATCGCGACATCTGCAATGAATTTTTCAAAAGCATTACGGTAAAATCGCGAGCGTGCGCTACGGCAATGTTTGCGCGCGGCCGGCAAAAGGAAAAGGCCACAATGGCCGGCACGTGCGCGCGCGAGCGCGCGGGTGCGTTCATTTGCTTTAACGCCCGCTGCCTTCTAATTAAACCGACCGCCGAAAACGAGAAATTGCAAGCAAGCGTTTTTTTCGAGGCCGATGCGCACGACCGACCGGCCGGCTGGTCGCAAGTCGGCAGTCGGCGGCGCCGGCGGGAGAAAAAATGGAAGGGAGAGGCCGAATGGGTCACGACTAATTAACTCCGATTGCATTAATTGAAGGGTCTCGTGTGAAAACTCGTTCGATTCGATTTTAGCAAACCGCGGTCAAAATTGAATGAAATTCGCGCGAGGGCGATTTTTTCCCGAAATTCTACAACAAGACACATTAATATAGCAACGTCCAATGTTCGTCGTAACTTTGTAAGAGTTTCCATCTTCTTGCTTTTTCGTCTTTTTATCTTTTGCAACGCGCATTCGCGCGATTTTCAACTTGCACAGTTGGAAACTGGGGGGGTAATTTCGCACGATTCTCGCCGGCTCGCTCTGAGGCGCTCGCCGCTCGAGCTGAATTATCGGCGAGAAATTAACAGCGTTTCTTGACCGTTTCCGCCGGATGACGAAATTAGCGTGCGCGCTTGAATTGTACTCGACTCACGGCAATCCGACACTCGCAAGGTCCTCTCTCCTCCTGGTGGAACGTAATTTCGCGGAAGACTGACGCGCGCCGTTGAAGATCGGCGACGATTCCGCAAGTAATAATTATAACGGAGACACAAAGCGGATCTCGAGAGCCTCGCGGAGCACCTCTCGCGCGATCCAATTCCCCGTCATCCCCTTAAAATCCCTTTGTTGACCCCGATAATCCGGCCGGCGGACGTGGCCGGGTCGGCCATCTCGCACGCCACTCGACGTTCTCTTTTTCCAAAATTCTATTACCACCTTCACTCGTGGATTTTATAATTTCTCTCCGCATCAAAGAGGCCCAGTGATATCGTTGACTTTCCGGATTACGGCGCCGCGAATCCGCGAAAGGAAATGTTTCACTCTACGCTGACGCGTTTTTCGCTCTCGCATGTTTCAATTATTCGCATAATTGTCGCTCTTCTTTGGAAAATAATAATGAAGCATCGAACGCGCAGGCGACTTGCCGGTTGACTCTTCTCTTAACGCGACATGTAAAGGGACGACGAAAAGACGAAATTCCGGATAACGAGAGACGAAAAACAGCGAAAGGAGGACGGACGTGGAGAAGTAAAGCTTTCGCCGATTTCCTCTAAGCGGATTAACCGGTTTTCGACGAACTCAACGCACCGAGCGAGCGATTCAATCGTCGCGGAAATTAAGCACGTTTACAAGTCGACTAGCTCTGTCGCGATCGACATCGCGACAGTCGGCGGAGCATCTGTTTTATTTTCTTGTTTTATCGCGCGTGTCATCGAGATGCGCGCTATTCTCTGGCCGCGTCATCCGCTATCATCGTTATTCGCCGCATACGAGACGGCAAATACGCCGGCCATCGACGAGGAGCGTAAAGCACGCTCGAATCGCGCCCGGTCAAATCGCTCCGATCGCGCGTCCGATGCATTAAAAAGAAAAAGGAAACGCGAAATCGCAATAACGACGCTCGCGCGCGCAAGGTTAATTCGAGCGACGTGTATTTCTTCCTGCTATTCCTCTTCCGCGCCGCGGTCATTCGCTGACGTAGATTGAAAAAGCAGTTCCATTATAAATAATTTAAATGCATTGCTCGGGAGCAAAAAACGAGCGGCAAACTCGACGACGAGCGTCGGCAAAATTGATACGACGTGCGACTCGACCCGCTCGGTCTCTTTCTCTTTCTCTCTTTCCCTCCCTTTCCGCGGTCAATACCTCGCTCCACCTCGTGCGGGCGCGCGGAGAGAGGCCCCCTCCTCTCCCTCTCGTTGCGGATTTCATATATTTATTTATTTTGCCGGTTCACTCGTTCCCGCGCACGCTTTCTTTCGTCCACGTTTCTTCGCTTCGCCGCGCAAATCGCAAACACCGACGGAGAGACGGAAGGCGCTCTCGCTCGCAAAATTTCATCTTCCTTTCTCTCCACGAGGGTGAATGTTCCCGTTAGTAACCAAGAGAAATCTCGTCGTGAAGATCAACTAACAAAATAAATAATATACATGCTGGGATAAGGACGCAAAGCTGATCTTGTCGGAAAGCTTGAAGATTTGTTTTTCTTTTTATAATTTATGGAAATGTTCTAATCTATTTGTAATACCTTCTCAAAAATGACTGAAATATCATCTGACGACATGGCAGTTTAGTTCTGAGGAAGTTGAAGAACAAAACTGCACGGATCTAACGAGTATAGACACCTGATGTTAGTTGATTAAAAAAAAGAAAAAAACGAATGCTGCTGTCATAAATTGGGAAACTGTCACTAATTGGGACATTCGCTCTACCGCTGTGAATCGGAGAAGATCGTTAGCGTGTATCGACTAATAAGACCTTTTCATACCACTTTTTTTTCTTTTTATTGGATCTTGTCCTTTCGGCGAAGAAAAAAAAACCGAGAGAGAGAGAGAGAGAGAGAGAGAGAGAGAGAGAGAGAGAGAAAGGGAGAGAGGAGGGGAAACTGAGTGCAGTGGGATAGAGACGACGAAGGTCCGTCGCAGGTCTCCCTCGTAGAGACAGATAAATGTGTCGCGATTTCGCGGCATATTCCGCGGCAGCGGTCGCAAAAAAGTTTACGACTCTATCGGAAGGGCGCGCAATATGGAAACGAAAGGCTAGACGCGCCGGAACGGAACATTACAGCACGGGAAGGGTGAGACGTGAAAAGGGAGCCGCCGAGCGTGGAGCAGCGCAGCGAGGAAAATACGAGCGAGAGGAACGTACGAGTACACGTATCGTCGATCTGGCGCATGAAAAGAAACCCTTTCCTCAATTCCGCCCGGCTCCCTCGAAGAATCCTAATCTCCCGGCGCGGCGCGCGGATGTAACGGACGTCGCTACCCCCGCTCGACAGTCTCCGCCGCGCTCGCGCTCTCGCGCGCTCCTTGCGTCCTCTCCTTGCGTCTCCTTTCTTCGGCTGATACACGACGAAGGCAGTCGGCAGTCGGGATAGGGTGGTATAGACGGTCCTGGCACATCGGGGTCTCCGGGATTACTACCCCGGCCTAATCAGCCAGATTGCCTGCAATTTGCCGTCCTTATCTCGGTACGACGACCCCCTCCTCCTTCTCCTCCTCCTCTCATGCGAGTCTTGGTCTTTCCTTCTTTCTCTCTTTTTCTTTTTCCTTCACTCTCCCTTCCCACTGGCGCTTCTGCGAACGACGGGTCCCCCCGTGGAAGACCAGCCTCGGAGCGTCACCGGCGAAGGAGGGCTTCGCGAAAGAATACCTCTTTCTTCTTCGTCGGATCTAACCTACGGCGAGCGCGGAAATCTTTGGCGAATTACACGGGGTTTAGGTGAATTGGCCACCTCCAGGTGCGGAGTCCAAAGAAGAGAGAGAGAGAGAGAGAGAGAGGCTGCCGCGCATCGTCGAGTTTAGACGAGAAGTCAAAAGAAAAAGAAGAAGGAGGAATAGTCGCGCGAGGAAAAGAGCGAGGCACGATCATTTCGCCCTTCTCCCCCGCACCCTCTCATCCACCTCGTTCGATATCAATCGATCGACAGACACGAGCATTGTTGACGCAAGAGATCGCGACGAGGGGCGACGCGGCGGCGCGGCGGCTGCATCGGAGTCATCCGAAGTTACGCGATTACACCGCAGCACGGTGTTATTGATCGCGATAACACGAGTTCGCCGGCGAGTCGTTTATTTATTAACTAAGGATGGCCGGCCGCGTACGAGCGGCACGGGTCAGCAGATCGCAGCCGAATTAATCGCGGCGGCTCCATTTTAATGCGCTCACTAATTCAGTAATGAATCGTTATTAATTAATCGTTTAGCAATTAATTACCATTAATTGTCCTTATGACCAGTCCTCTAATTATCGGCTGGCTTTACTCCTGCATTGAACACTTATAAACGACGGATCGTGCAAACAACTGCAGCCAACCAGCGAACGGGGCGCCGCCTTCGTTCGCCGGCGCGCGATTCTTGCAACGATCAACTATGAGACGATTAATCAAGCCGCAGGAGGGAGAATCGGCTCGTCTCGGCGACTCCTGCGTGTAAATCGGCGTTCCGCGACGATCTCGTAGAAATTCGCGAGCGCGGAACGAGCGGCACATCGTTGCGGCGTGTCGCGACGCTCTCTCGTCAGCATGGGAGACAATAATAATGTACGTATATACTAATTGTGAACTGGCGCATGCGGTAAATAATTGTAAATTGTTAGATGTAACACTCACCCGCGTTATTACTGGCGAAATTTAGATCCTTACCTGAAACAAAGGAAACGGACGTTATTAGCGTGAGGCAGGGGTGTCGACGAGGCGGGCGGGCGAGAACTACTCGCTGGCGCGAGTATCGATCTCGGGGGTGCGCGCGTATGCATGCTGACGTGCGAGTCGCGTCAGAAATGTGTCGGGAATGTTTCGAGATTGAATCACGGTGACGAATCGGAGCGTCGGAAGTGCGAGAGCTGCGGCAGATCCGCTCTCGCCCCGGCTGCGTAAACAGCGATGTCGCCCGTTTCCTTTTCTTTTTTCCTCTCTCTTTCACTGGCTTTTTCTTTTTTTTTTTCTTTCAACGCGCACGCGCGGTTAATGTGCGAGTGCTGTGTGAGACTTCCTCCATTTTTTCCTCTCTTTATTTCAACACGGCGCTTATTATTAACTTCTCGACTCCGCGTCGCCCGCGAGCCCGAACGGGGCTGTTTTCGATGTCACTCGCTGCATACAGTCGATAACTAATAAAGCAATAATATTCGACATCAGCTGTTAGCCCAGGTCTATTCTCAAATTCCGCCATTGACGCGAGTGACTTGAACTATCGGCTGCATAATTGATTCCCGCCATCTGCAATCGTCGCGTTAGAAATTGACGTTGTCACACATACACGCACGCATACAACACACACATCGCCGTCCAGGAATTGACGTCGCTGAAGTAATACTTGAGAGAGAAGGAGAGAGGAAGAGATGGAGAAGAAGGGAGGAAAAAAGGCGCTCCAGCGCTCTCCGGCGTTCCGCAAATAGCTTCATTTATTTTCTGCCGGGGCAATGCTTGTAATCCGATTTAACGCTTCCCTTCCATTATATTTCCGGATTAAACGCGGTTACAGTGACTTCCCGGCTGCATACTGAAATGTTCGAATTTAGTTAGACACGCGATCCTTCTTGTTGCGCACACATATTATTTCGCATAAACTAACGTGTAATCCGCGCGCGCCGGGCAATCTAACCGAGCGCATGCATACAAATGCCGTCGGAATGTTCGCGGTTGTTCGCGGCTGCATGTGATATCACTCGACGGAAATCTGGGGTCACGCGCAAAGAAGGTAAATAAGTGGCCGAAAATAAGAGAATATCGGCGGACGATCGCCCGCGTTCTTGTGCGAGTGCCCTCGATTCGCATTCGGGAGGAATTAGAGATGTGCGAATCAAGAATTTTTATGTCGAATCGAATCTCATTTTTTTAATTCGAATTCGAATCGAATCGAATCTACGAAATTTCATTCGAATTCGAATCGAATCGAATCATTAAAAAATTTAACATGACTATTAAACATGCACATAATGATGGAACATTTTAATATGAAAGGGGATATTGATATTGTAATATCATCTTACAGTAAAATATATATTTAAATATTTAAAGTAATTTATAATTAAGTCATTAATTATAAGTTGAGTTAATTACAAGTTAAGGGTTCAAATATACAGGCCCAGATGGCTCGTTTTGTACCTGATGCATGTAAATATAATGCACGTTAATATATTTTATTCGTAATTGAATCTTCGATTCGAAATTTTCGAATTATTCGGATTCGAATCATAGGAATTCGGATTCGAATCGAATCGAATTATATTAGATTCGATTCGATTCGATTCGAATTCGAATAGTTCGCACATCTCTAGTCGGAATATGAAGCGGACGCAGGCCGGAAACAGGCGCGACGAACCAACGAGCGTTCATGATTTCTTTCTTTTTTTAAGATCAGTAACCGAGTGACCTCGTCGTGAGTATAAATTAATTATGTTAAACAAAGTACACAGAGTTGATTCCGTTGAAAAGTTTGAACATTTGGAGTATTTCAATTGTTACATTTACTGGAAAATTTTAATCTACTTATGCGGCATATTTTCTCAGAAAAGACTGAGGCAATACTTGATAACATCACGGTTTAGTTTTTTTTTCTCATCGACAGCTTAGATTTTAAAAAGTTTCGGAATAACTGCATAAATCTAACAGACACCTGATATTATATCAACTGCCAATTTCCAATTAACTATTCAAATTGTCACCGTCAACGTACGTTTATAATTATGGTGTTTAGGACTTTTAATTTCGTTTAAAACTTGTTACTGGGGACTTGAATAAGTTCTCGCTGTTTCCCGACAGATGGTGTTATCTTAGCCTTTTTGCATCGGGCAATACTACAGCCAACTTCATCGTGAAGCTCCACCATTCGGTGGAGGCTCGAAGTGACAGTATATGTTATTCCGCCGAAGCGTAAACAACATATTTTTTCATAGCGTTAAACATGTCGAATTTCGTGCCAAAAAAAAGAGTATTTGCGGGGAATTTTACTGCATTACTTTTTTCAAAAAAAATCTGCAGCTGAAGCACATAGAATTCTTGTGGAGACTCACGGCGACCATGCTCTGCCGGAAACAACATGCAGAGATTGGTTTAGAGACTCTTTAAAAATAATGATTTTGATGTTGAAGATAAAGAACGCTCTGGCGCACCGAAAAAGTTTGAAGACGAAGAATTGGAAGCACTACTATGATGAAGACCCATATCAGACGCAAAATGAACTTGCAGAATCATTAGGAGTTGATCACACAACAGTTGCCAAACGTTTAAAAGCATTAGGAATGATTCAAAAGCAAGGAAATTGGGTGCCGTACGAATTGAAGCCGAGAGAACGGCGTTTTTCACGTGTGAACAGCTGCTCCAACGGCAGAAAAGGAAAGGTTTCTTGCATCGTATCGTAACTGGTGATGAAAAGTGGATACACTGCGATAACCCGAAGCGTAGAAAATCGTGGAGTAAGCCCCGGCCTTGCATCAACATCGACGGCAAAGCCGAATATCTATGGTTCCAAGTTCACGCTCTGTATTTGGTGGGATCAGCTGGGTGTAGTATATTATGAGCTCCTCAAACCCAACGAAACCATCACGGGAGATCGCTATCGACTACAATTGATGCGTTTGAGCCGAGCATTGAAGAAAAAACGGCCGCAATACGAGGAGAGACACGGCAAAGTAATTTTGCAGCATGACAACGCTCGGCCACATGTTGCAAAACCGGCCAAAACCTACTTGGAAATGCTCAAATGGGAAGTCCTACCTCACCCGCCGTATTCAACGGACATTGCTCCTTCCGATTATCACTTGTTCCGATCGATGACTCATGGCCTGGCTGAGCAGCACTTCCATTCTTATGAAGATGCCAAAAAATGGGTCGATTCGTGGATAACCTCAAAAAATGTGTCGTTCTTTCGACATGGTATTCGATATGGTATTTTGCCAGAAAGATGGGAGAAAGCAGTGGCTAGCGATGGACAATACTTTCAATGACATGTTCTTTGCTAATTTTTTAAAATAAAACATTCATTTTCACGAAAAAACAGCGAGAACTTATTCAAGTCCCCAATATAATTAATAACATTTAGAATTTATAGTAAAAACATGCATAAATTGGAATATGGTATATTTTGGAATAAATATAGACCCGTATTAGCTAATTTATTAAGGGAAACGATTCACAAAAGGGGGAAAATCCATTTTATAATTTGTTTCCCTCGGACGTGTTAGAAATGTTATCATCATCTAAAAAATTTCGTAATCGACAATATGCAGTAGTTTATCTAAACACACATATACGACAATATAAGAAATATTATTATTACTAAGAGAGCACTAAGAGAGAAGAATAAAAATCATCGTACGACATACGAAATAGATGTCTACTTCAAAAGTGTCTGAGCGCCAACGAATTCTTTACACGCAATTTATACTCAGAGTGGCCATTAAAAAATATATTTTTATAAATTTGTTTGTGCCCGATCTCTAGCAAACAAAACACGATCACAATATGCTGATGTGCGCATAATTATAATGATACATTACATATCCTAATTACTATATAATTGCAATTATTACCATTAATATAATTAATTTTAATGCATGTTAATGTTTCCAACAGGAATTTTATGGTCTTGAATGTTAAATGTTTTATTGCATTGCCATTAATATCCGGTCATCATTAATATTTTAATTACATATCAAAGACACGCAATGCACATTTACAAACCGAAGATGTATAATTTGGTTAGAAACGAGGTCTCGTTGCAAAACGAGACGATGTTTAGCCATTTCCAGACACTGCTTGTATAATAAAGAGGATAAAACACGAAAGAGATTTCACGTTACGGACGACTCCACAAAAAGTGAAAGCGAAACGACAGATCGCGCGGAAGTGAAACGTTACGTTTTCATTCGCCTGGAACGCACAACCGGAAAAAAATGTTAACAACTTGACATTTTTGTTCAGATGGGATCGACTTTATCGCGAATGAAAAAGCTACGACAGTTCTGACGTAGTCACGCGCGCCTGTGCGGGTGTGCGTACCGCTGTTATAAATATTATTACAAAAAACGCAGCGGCAGTTGGTGGTGTCACGAATTAAAGTACGGCCGGCATAATGCATGTGACTGGCCGTAAAATTCCGCGAGAGAGGCAACTCGATGCAATATTTACATGGTAATGGATCTTGGGAGCTCGCGACGTTTTTCCTTTTCGCGATAAGGGATGCACCGTCGTCTGCAGCAGCTCGTATGGTCTGAGATTCGTAGATCTTCGCAGTGGATCTCAACTTCCGCCTCCGGCTTTCTCCAGCCGCCGCCGGAACGCACCGGAAGCCGTCTCCCGGGCATTTTAAGCTGCGGCATCCGACCGCGAAATATATGCGCGTATATATGTACACACACGCACGCACAACAAACAAACACGCACACACATGTATAAATCCGGCTGTTTTATTCATGCGAGAAGGAGAAACTTCCGGCGAATAGCGGCGCACTTTTGATAGCGATTCGACTATGTTCTTTATAGACGCTTCCGAAGCAAAAATGCCACGCCATCGTAGGATCAAGTCCGGTGATAAGATCCGGATGGCAGGAGAGAAAAATTCGCGAGACGATGACGACAACGGAAAAGTATTCCGAGACGTCCGTGGAGGCCGCTGCCTCTTGGGGTGCATCGCCGGAGGG